TTCCGTCTCAGATGGACCCTCAAGGGCATTTTCAACTGGAGCATGGTCACATCCTTATAGGGAGACGGAAAGGGTTTCTGGAGTAGCCAGCCTCAGGCCACGGGCTCCTTCCCGGAAGCCCTACCAGGAGTCTTCTCTTCCTCCAGGGGGAGCTCCGCCAGCTCGGCCCCAACATCACTCCTCCGCACCAGATCCTTCAGGGCGTGCCCCTTGCGGTACCCATCGAAGAGCCAATCCAGTTTCTCCTCGGCCGCAGGATTGTAGTCCTGGAAGTCCGCCAAGTTGAAGCCAGGGGGGTTGAGGCCCTTCACTTTTTCCAGGGTCCGCGTAACGCCGATCTGGAGGATGGGCAGGTTGAGGCAGGCCACGTCATCGGCGAACTGGTAGGAGCAGAGGAAGTCCCGGACAGCCTTCTTGCGCTCTGGGCCAATGGCGCCAGAGAGCTCAAAGGCGTGCTCTTCCTTCAGTTTCGCCACCCCCTTCTTCTCCTGATCCAGCTCAGACCTGGTAGAGGCGAGCTGGACCTGGGAGTCCTCCAACCCCTTCTCAGCCTGGCCCAGTTTGGTCTTAAGGGAGTCCATCTCCTTAAGAGCCTTGGCCAGTTTCTGCTCGCCCTCCCGATTTTTCTTCTGCATCTTCTCCAAGTCGGGAGACAGTTCGGAGAAGCGGGTCACCAGGGCAGCACCGGCGGCGTTGGCCTGCGAGGGTGAGAGTAAAATGTGGCACACGGAGAAAAAACTGGGAACCATAAGGGCTCAAGAGAGAAAGGGCTTACTTGGGCCTGGCCGGTGTAGTACATGTCCTGGAGCTCGAACGGGCTGGCCAGCTCCATCCACTTCTTGTCCCGTGGAAGGACCGCGCCCGTGACCAGCTCGCGAGCCACGTCGGGGAACTGGGTTCGGTCATGGATGGAGAGTTCCCAAGACGGGCAGAAGCGCCGGGGATCATGCATTGTGGGGGCTTGCCCCGGCTTCTGAGGCGCCACGTGGCGGAAGTGCCACAAGCTCGGGGGGGCGCTCTCCTGGACGTGCTCCTCCGCGGAGCCCACCCCCAGGTGGACAGGGCCCCCAGACGTCAGCAGGAGGGGACGCTGGATTGGGCCCTGCGCAGATTTCTTCCCAGGTTGGGAGGGCTCGTCTTCTCGCCCCCTCTTCAGCCCCGTGGCCTTCTTCCTTCCGGGGACTGGCTTGGAGGGGGACTGAGCCTGAGAGGCCTCCTTCTGGGGGGCCGAGCTGGCCCCAGGAGTCGTAGAGGCCTCAGGAGCCTTTTTCGCCGCCTCAGGCTGTTCGGCGGAGGCGGCCTCCTCGGTCGGCGTGCCCAATAGCCTGGAGAGCCTCTTCACTGCGAAAAACATCACCAGATTAGTGCTACAGGTCAGAAAAACAAAGGGGGAAAGGCAGCAGGTAACAGGGAAACGGGAGCAGTATTACAAGTGCCTTGGTCGGCAGGGGAGAACTCCACCCCTCCGGGGGACCCGGACAGCTTTCCCAGCAGCCCGGCTGCGGAGATCTGCTCAGTGGAGAATTTGGCTGCGTACAGCTTCACCGCCGAGCCCAGCAGCTGGCCAAAGGCCTCAGGGTCCAGGTCCTCCGGATAGGGGTCGTCCCCGAACCCCCCGACCTTCCACGCCTGGGGGGGGAATCGCGTGTTTTTAACAAAAAAGAAGTCCCCCTTCCAGTTCTTCACGGAAGAGGGGACCCCATACAGCAGATCCTGGGCGCCCTTCCCGCCGCGATTGCTGGGAGAGCGGCGGCAGAAGTAGTACCACCCAGGGAGAGAGGCCTTGAGGGCATAGTGGGAACGAAAGAGGGAGAGAGAATAGGGGATGGAGCAGATTTGGCTGTAGATCAGGAAGCCAAGGATGATCCTGATCGAGTTGGGGTGAACCTGGGTTATCCTGAACCCCCAGTAGCTCAGGATCTCAGCCAGGGCTGGAGGAATGGGAAGCCGGAGCCCCGCGACCAGTTGCTCTTTGTAGATGGCTACAAAGCCTAGGGGAGGTCGGCAAGCCCGGTCGGTGGGCCCGGCAGCTCGCGGCTCGAAGGCCGGAGGAATGGAGAATGAGACGGTCAGCTCGGCCACTGCCTCGGGCGAGAGGGTGGTCTCCTCCCGGTCGGGGTGGCCGTAGTTAAACTCAGGGTCATCCCCCTGCTCGGCAGTGGGGGTCCCTTCCGAGGAGTCCCTGTCCTCCCCAACCCCCTCCTGGGCTCCGCCAGGAGAGTTATGCGGGGATTGGGGAGAGGGGATAGAAGTGGCTCGCCGCTCGATGAAGGCGTCGAGCTCGGCTGCCTCCAACCGGAGTTGGGCAGAAGGAGAATGGGCGGATGGTGAACTCATGATGTCGATGGGCTCAAGCAAGTCGGGAATGGGAAAGTTGGGGTTTGAAGCGGAGGATGAAGGAGGAGAAGGGGAGGGAGATGATGAGGGTGATGATGAAGATGAAGAGTAGATGAAAATTCTGGTGGCTCTACGACGGACCGGAGTCTGGGAGGCGGTGGAAGTGACGTCGGAGAGGCCCGACATAAAATACAGAAAAGCAAAGGGAGGAAACGAAGAGCACAGGGAAGGAAGGTAGAAGACTTACTAGTGGATAAGGAGTGTGCTAGGGTTGGAGTGGTGGTAGAATCGCCGGAATCTGGGTGCGGTTGGCCGGAAATGCACTGCGGGAAATTGGAAATGCACAAGGAAGGAGGAAAATGGCAAATGGAGTTAACTGGAATTTGACAATCCCTATTTATAGGGAGCAAAGGGGGAGGGAAACGGTTGCTTGAATTTAAACCGTCCCATGTGAATGCATTTAATGGGGGTACGGAGACCGAAGGGACGCGACAACTGAAGGGACGCGGACGCCACTTCCCAGTGTCAGCACTGTCTCGGAAGTGACCGCGGCGGAGCAGGGTGATGATGGGCTCCCACGTGGCTAAGTGGTAGATCAGGTCTGCCCGGGAGCCTGACCTAATCTAGGGGGCTAGTGTAGAGGCCCCATCCTGGGCCTGCACACGTGGCAGCCCAGGGGCAACCTGAACTGGGCCTGCTCCCCAGGCCCACGGAGGACCAGCCCAGGGTGCGCGACGGGTAGGGCTCCGGGAGGCTCCCGAGAGCTACCCCGCAGAGGGCGGGGAGAATCCCCCTCAGCGCGGGATTGGGAGCTATTCAGGGCAAGTCCCGGAACGTACGGAGGTCGGACTCTTCAACAGGTATAAATGGTAGCACATACCCACTGTACAAGGTACGCTCACTATTGACAGATTACTCTCTCAATACATTATCCCAAAACACTCCGTCCACCGGAAAACTAACTTGACCGTCGGAGTGCCTTCGGAGACCACCTCGGGGCCCCCTTGTTAGACCACTCTCTTGTTTGTTTTGCAGGCTTGGGACTAGCCCTTCCATCAACACGTCGAGCTCTTCAGGTCAGCTCGGTCAGGGGAAGTTCCGTGCTTCTTCATTGACAAATCTGGTTCCCGTGAGGTTGCTGTGTACTTTGAAAGAGACACCTCAATTTTTGAATTCTACATATATACGTACATATATGTACACACACGCATATATATATATATATATATATATATATACTAGTAGGGGTAGGCTGTGTTATGCACAACCAGTGCCCATTGGAATGAATTCATTGGTAGTAATTGATGAAACAATAGCTTTGTAGTAGTTATAGTTATATTGTTCACAGGAAATAATAAATTGTTTTTGTGAAATTTATTAGTAATTGCATTGCATAGAAGTAAATTCACATTTGTTTCTTTTTGTTTAACTTGTAAATACAAATGTGTACTGTTGCAAAAATATATTGATTTCTACAAACTTTAGAACATTTTTGGTTTTAATTATGTTGTATTGGTGATAAGTTATTCAAAGAAGAAGTTACACACCTTGTGATCTCTATTTTATAAAAATTACCAGGAAGGAAGTTATGAGAACAAATAAAATGAATAAATGCTTCTGAGCTTTAATCTACTTTGTCAAATGTAGCCACTTGACTTATTGTTGTCAAAATTTTCATCTAAAAATGTAGTCAATGATAAGTAAATCACTCCATTGATTCATGGTCAAGTCTAATGGTGAATACATGACGAAATTACAAAGAACAATTAATCAAGTGGTTGAAATTTATACAAAAAAAAGGGGTTGAAATTTATTCAAAGAACAACCCAACTTTTAGGTAAATGGTAAACATCTAATCGTAACAAGTCATTAAAAGAAGTAAAACAATCGCATATGATTTGTAAAGATTCGTTGTATAAGAAAAAAATGGAAACCAAGAATGATATGTATAAAAGAGTGGCCAACTATTTTGAGTTTTATCAAAATGGATAAGTAAGTTGTTTTACCATTGAACCATCTAACAATTACAAAAGGAAACCAATCAACAGCTACAAATCTAGAGCTGTAAAACAAGCCGAGTCGAGCTCGAGCATATGACAATCGAGCTCGACTCGAACCTCTAATCGAACTAGTTCGAGCTTGCTCGATTAGTAATTCGAGCTTCACAAGGCGTTCGAGATCGACTCTATGTACTGGGTAGAAAACTCGAGTTCGAGGTCGAACTCGAGTTTGAAATCGAGCAGAGCTTATCGAGCTCGAAACTCGAGTGGAACTCGAGCCGAGCTTTTCGAGCTCGAGCTCGTTTATGGGAGACACCATATCAGCTCCTTGCACACTCATATTTAACCTGACAAAAGAAGATACACATTCTCTGATATATCATCTTCAATTCGACAAGCCATGCCAAATGACAATATAAGGCAGAGTCTAATACTACAGTAAGCTCGAATATAAAAAGCCAGAACCTAATAATTATGGAGTTAAAAAGAAGTTAAAACTGCAGCAAAAACCATCAAATAGAGGAACAAAATGTCCAAACTCGGATTATAATGTCCAAAGTAGATCAGATTACAACATATCCAAACCAAAATGTCCAAACCAGATCAGATTACAACATGAAAAATTACATAAACAGCCACCAAGTAACATCAACGGCCACCAAATCAGGTTGTGAATGATTCAGGAAGTTCAACTTCCTCAAATGTGATTGATTTGACCGCATCAAGTGATTCCTACAAAACAAAAGTATGACAGTTATAAAATTCTTCAAAATCGGATATAACGAAAGTGTAACAACAACAAAAACATCCAATCAATTACTTACGCGAGACTTATTCTTTAGGCCATGAAGACTGCGGATCCAATCGTTGCCGCAAAGCAACATTTGCACCGTCTCAACTGACATAAAAGCTCGTCGATCATCAATTACTCTACCTCCGGCGCTGAAAGTAGATTCTGAAGCCATAGTTGTAATAGGAACGGTGAGTATATCGGCAGCCATCCTCGACAAGATAGGAAATCTCAATCTTTTCCCTTTCCACCAACCCAAAACATCTAGATTTGCATTTGCATCACAAGCATACCTACTTTCCGCTAAATAAATATATAAATCTGATTTTTTTGGTGAAGCCCTGTCAATTTCACTCACATGCATGTGAAACTTTTCTTTACCAGTTAAAACGACGGGTCTAGTCATTTTCTGTTTCTTACTAGAAGAACTGAAACCTTCATTTTGTCTCATTTTTACAACCTGCCTCTGTTGTTGTTCAGAATGGGAAACAATGTGACAATCAACATATTCATTTTAAAACTCATAAAGAATGTCTCTAATCTCAGCCACGAATCTAGGAGTTGCATCCTCACCATAAATAACCGAAAAAGCATGATTAACAAGAAACATTTTGTATCTCGGATCCAAAATTACACCCAAAGATAGCAGCGCATTACTTTTCCCCCAATACTTATCAAATTTAGCAGACATACTTTCAGCCATAGCCGAATATGCTCAAAAGGGTCAAGAACTTTTTCATTTGAAAGATCTTTAATCCTATAGAGTTCCACAAGAAAAATGTTAGCTGTTGGATACTCGGACCCGAAAATCATATCAGTGAATTCATGAAATATTCTTAAAAATTTGCATACTTCTTCCACTTTCATCCACTCAAAATCAGTAGGAACATAGTGAAATTCGGGGTCAATGTTTGCATATCTTGGAAAGACATCTTTGAACTCTAAATCTGAAGCTAACATCAAATAGGTGCTATTCCACCTTGTTGGACAGTTCAAAATTAGTTTTCTAGAAGGCAACTGAAGCTGTTTTTTAATTTTGGCAAATTCAAGAAGCCTGGATTCAGAATTATTCAAGTACTTTATCTCTTCTCTAACAACATCAATCATACCACCAAGTTGACCAAGACCATCTTGCACTAAGAGATTAAGTATATGTACACAACATCTAACATGAAATTTTTTTTCTCCAATACTTAATCTCTTTCTTAGAGAAAAATCCTCTCTAAGTCTCCTAATGCACACATCATTGTATGAAGCATTATCAACAGTTATGCTAGAAACCTTATTCTTAATCCCCCAATCAATAAAGCACTTATTTAGAGCATCAGCTATAATAACTCCAGTATGAGGAGGAGGAACATTGCAAAAATTCAACACATATTTTTGTAGCACCCAATCAGAATCAATAAAATGACTAGTCACAACCATATATTGAATTTTTTGACCAGATTTTCACAAATCTATGGTAATACTAATTCTACCCGCACCTTTCAACAATGATTTCAACTTCATTTTTTCAATTATATAAGTACTAATGCAATCTTCCTTAACAGTCTACCAATTAATCTTTTTATAAAATGGAGAAGTCACTTTCATGAATTTGTTGAAAATTACATGATCCATCATAGAAAAGGGGTACTCATATGCAAGAATCATGTGTGATACAAGCTCTCTTATCTTGGCATGATCATACGAGAAATTTGTGATGGAAGTGATACCATCACTTGGGCCTTCGGTGAATGACAACACTTGTTGCTTTTGTTTGCTTAGCTCCCCAATGGCCATCTTTCTTTGTAGGCAAGAATTCAAGTGTCTCTTGTGTTGAGATATGGCTCCGGTTGCACTTTTGGCAAAAAGTTCCTTGCAATGGTTGCACTTCACTTTGACCGTCCCATTATCTAGCACTACTGTTGTCATTTCATCCCATATGCTGGATTTCTTCTTCCTTTACTTTTTCTCAAAATGACCAGCTCCTTCATCTCCATCTACTTGCTGTCCTCCTTCATTGCCCTTATCTTCTATCATTTCTATCTCTTTTTCACTCATCTCATCAGCTTTTTCTTCGTTGTAGTTCAATTGTTCCATATCTTCATTATTTTGCTCCATCACAGGATTTGATGATGAACCTTGAAATGAGTTGATTGGAGAGCTGTACATTCCTTAATCAAAACACATTTAATAACCAATATAGATTCTGATTAGCCAAAACAGAAATTTAGAATAACATTTCTAAGAAATAAGGTACAAAAGTAATAAAACAAATTCCAAGAAATAATGCCCACTTCAAGTCAATTTTAACATTTCTTTAACTTGTTCATATCTCAATTCTCAAGCTTACATTCAGATTAATGAAATAACAGAGAAAAGCTCTTAAAAACTCTTAAAATGGCAATCCAAACAAAAAGTTAGTTTTGCTGAAATGAAGAAACTAAAATGAAGAAAGTTTTGCCTTGCAGAATCTTCCAAGTTGAAAAATGCTTTCACTGTCAAGTTTAAACAAAAGTGCAAAACAGGAAGAAATATCACATGCTAAAGAAAAAAAGATGACTAGCTCTGTTAAAGAAATATCAACAGTCAGTTCTATAACATGGATTAGAAAATGCAGAAATCAAAGAGCACAGAGACAAAAAGTGATGTTTCCTTCTTTATTTTCTTAGAGACACAAGTTTAATCGCAGCAACTATTCCATGGTCTGAACGAAATGAAACTGAAACCCCTACTGCTGCCAATTCAACCCAAGTCCAAAATATGTAGAAAACCAAAATAAACCCAAGTGGTTGCATATTCTCTATTTGCAGATATAAGATATTTTAGAAAAAAAGTTGCAATAATTCTTTTGAAGACTGGCTCCATCCTAAAGATTGAACACAACTTGGAAACTTAATTCTAAGAGTATAATCTATGAGAAATATGTAACAGTTGACAAAAAATATAATCATAAGCTCATTTGCCTGCTAATGTATGAAAAAAAACATATCTGTATTTATAAGCCATTCTCACTCATTACAAATAAATAATATTACTTTTGCTAAGACATAATTGAAGGCTTCCAAATTGTCATTTCCAGAAGAAAAGGAGTTTGACCAGTGGGGGAACAGTATGACTACAAGAAAGATCAAGAGGAAGAATAACGTAAGTGGCCTCCAAACCAAAATTGAGAATTAAATGTACAATGAGAAATGATGAGAAGAAGAACTAATCCAATATAATAGACATGTAAACTCAACCAATTATCTCACCATAGGATTCCTAAATGAGCATAAAACCCAAGATTTCCAAATTATTTTACCTATAATTGTACTGCGTAACAGCGTTCTTGGGCAGCTTGCAATGGAGCATAGTTCTAATTATGGGCTCCATTTTCCTAGTCGAGAAACCTAAGCTTTCTTCTCTTGTTTTACTTCTTTTTGTTTTCTTATTTCTTCATATTATACTTTTAAAGTCTTTTTCAGCCTACACTCAGTAAAATACTGGTATCTAGTTTTTTCCACTTGACCACCAATTTTTGACACTCAAGAAAGGGCAGGAAACAAAGCCAGCCAAAGACTGATCTCAAAGCCAAGGAGAGATGATAACACTAAGCGATGCATAAGCAATCCGTGCAGGTGAAATTTGGGATAAAATATAGAGATAAAAAACAGGAAGCCAACGGGATACGGGGAAGCCATACGGGATACGGGGCTATCTACCATTAACCAAAACCCACACAACCTCTTAAAACCAAAATAAATTGCAAAAATTGAGAAGAAATGGTTACCAGAATGCAGCGAATCGGGATATGGTAGTGGCCCCTGACTCTACCGAGGTGGCTCCGTATGGCGCTGCTTACTGATTCACGACAAGAGGATTGAATGATGGCGGTGATATGGTGGACGGATTGGTGATGGAGGTGAGATGAATGGATTGGTGAATCGGTGACGGTGGTAAGAATGGAGGGTGCGGCTGCGGCTGTGGAACGGGGAAAGGAAAGACCGAAAGAGGAAAGAAAAATTAAGGATGGCGCCTGGTGGTGAGATGGTGGACGGATAGGTGATAGTCCTGATGGAGGTGAGATGATGGATGAATCGGAGAATGGTAAGTCAGTGACGGTGGTGAGAATTGAGGGTGCGGTTGTGCGGTTGCGGCTGCGGCTGTGGAACGGGAAAAAGTAAGACCAAAAGAGGAAAGAAAAATTAGGGCTACAAACGGGAGAATGACTTAGATTAGAGTACCGCATAAACAATAAAATGATGCTAATGCCCCTACTCTTCCAGCCTATTGAGCATCAATGAGCCGAGCTTAGTGTATTAAATGAGTACTGAGTAGAGCTCGAGCTCGGATTGTTTCTCTCTGTAAACGAGCCGAGCTGAGCCCTTATCGAGCCAAGTCGAGCTCGGCTCGCGAGCTACCCGGTTTGATTAACAACTCTATACAAATCTAATGGTCCAAAGTTAAGCAAGATATCAAATTATTTTAAAAAAAGTGAAAAACCTCAAATAAATAAAAACCTTAAAATTTGCTTTCTAATTAAATACGGCTTGGCTAAAATAAGTCTTAGACTGACTATTTCATTTTAATTATGTAAAATAGATTATATATATCTTCCTTAGATGCTTTATAGTCTTATTGCAAACAATATCATTTTTCCCATATTCCTTTTTAAATATTTATTAAAGACATGATTTATATATCTTAATATTTTTCCCACATCGTAAAAATATATGTTTTATCATATTTTTTTCAATAAATCTCAGACAAATAAAAACCTCAAAAATTGCTTTCTAAATGAATAAAGCTCATAACTTGCATATTTGGTTTTATTTTTTTGCCATCAATTAAATCATCTCTTACCCAATTTCTTTGTAATCTGAAAAATTTATCAATTTTTGTATCTCTTCTTGCCACTAATCCCAAAGAATAAGGAGAGTGGTTATAAAATGAAAGAAAATTATAAATTGAAGTAGGCGATGCACTTGTATATGATTTGTAAATAATGAATCTAGCATTTAAATCCCTTGTCATGATATGTCTGCTCTTATTAGAAAAATATCAATTTTGGTATTTTATTTTCCCTCAAAGTCAAAATAATTTTAAAAATCTATAGAAAAATAAGGTTGTATTCCGAATATTAACCTTGCATTTACACTTAAATTTTTTTATGCTTATACATTTATTCAAAGTAATAATTGATAAATTTATTTTTTGAATTAAACATATTAATATCAAATATTTCTCAATTAATTATATATTCTTGACTAAAGAGGTAATAAATAATCAGCTATTATGGCTTGATCCCTTACTATGTATCTTGGTCTCTTGAATTTTGGATTAAAAATTAATGGATCATAATATAGTTCATAAATACATTTTTCATTCAGGTAAAAGTCTAGAATTGGATTTCAATTTTGTAGTTTCAAAGATATTGACATAATTTAGATCCTACTTAAAATCTCAACAGCAATTTTTTCAAGAATCCAAAGCCAAAAAGGAAAAAAAATACTATAATGATTGGTTCCATTATATATGCTAAAAACTAATGGAGCTGAGAGTTGCAATCATCCGAATCTGTAAGAAGAAAATTGTTTAAAGGAAGTTAGAAGATTAATAAAAGGGAGAAAGAAGAATTAAGCATACAAATTCATCATTTGAGTAAAATAACAGAGCTTAGAAACTAATCACTGGTTTAATATTAATATCTTTTCTACTTTCCCATTGCCAAGTGATTTAGCAGGCGGTCATAAACTTTCTAGTAGTGCTATATCCTAAACAATTATAAATTGAAATACTAACTGCCCACTAATTAGATTGCTAACTTGCATTTACATAAATTCCATCAAGTTCTTTAGGAGGACGCCATCATAAAGGATCATGAGCATTGATATGAAATTTGGGAACATCTTTTGTGATCTTCATTTGGGATTGCTATCGAAATTTGACTTCCAACCTCTGTAGTGTATGCTTTGAAGTGTTGTTTTTCGCTATCCTTTTGTCCTTGGATTTCCAGATTAAAAGCATGGATGAAACAAACCATTGTTACCCCTTCAACATAAGAGGCTAGTTTAGCAAAATGTGTAACATCCTTAATTTCATTAGTGAACTTTGTTTGAAATATTTAATGAAATGTTGAAAGGATGTTGAGAGGATTAAGAATAATTTTGATTGTGGATTTAGGGTTTATAGATTTTTATTTGATGTGATTTCTCGTTATTGATGCACTGACTGATATTGTAATATTTAAGACGAGGGAATAGACAAATAGATTTCGATGTAGGATTGGATTAACGAAATCACCTGAATTGTTACAGATATCAAATTTTTAGAGTAAGGGCCGGTAAAAGAGCTCCCTAATTAAGGGGGCTGAGGGTCGGATGCACAAATTTGGGCACTTTCACTTCTCATTACCCATAATCTAGAAAAAGATCCAAATTAAAGCAAACTTGAATCGGAAAAAAAAAATACGAGAGAGAAAAAGAACGCATATCTTTCTTCCTCCTCCCTCTTATGTACCGCTGCATTTTCTTCCCCTATCTTCCGCCCTTGCCCCTCTACTTCATCCCTCACTTCTCCTACCCTCCATACTGCCACTGCCCATCTCCCACTTGCTCTTCTACTTCATTTTTTGCAGCTTCCCTTCCATCCCTCTCACAACACTAATTAAGTTTTTTTTAATAGAGTTTTGCATAACAAATTTGTAATTGGAATCAATGAGTTGGTTTTCTACGAATCATGCTGCAATTGATCAACAGTATACGTATAAGCAGGTAGCGGTGGTGAAGGATATGGGAGGTGATGGTAGTAATGAGCAAGAGATTAAGAGAAAGAAAAAAAAAAGGAAAAAAGTGAAAAAGAAAAAGTGGCCGAAGGAGATGGATTTGCAGTGGCCAAATTCATGTGTTCTTCCTCATCTTGAGTTTTGCCATCCACAGATTCTCCTGCAATTTAGCTATCGCAGTGGTGATGCAGTGGATATGAGTAACAAGTTCCATCCTAGCTGCGCCATTTGTTAGTATTCCTGATCATATTAGTTGCCTTGGTTGAACCTTTAGACATTTCCGGTATTAGCAATTTATGTGAACTTTTGCAATTCTTCTTTAATTGGAGTAATCATTTGCAGATCATCACAAAGTTGTATCCTGCAGATTTAACTACATCATATAACATAAAATCTACCTTAGACA